TACGCAACGCGTAAAAAGACAATATAAGTCATTACAATCAGTAATTATGTCCCCACTGGATGCAACAAATGGCTCAATTATAATGGGTTTTATTGGTTTTGTCTCATCGCTCCGGGACAGGGCATCACAATATGGTAAGGGGCGTAACATTTCCATCACACGCTTGAGGTATTCGGCCAATCACAACGCACTGGATAGCTGGCCAATCACAGCACACCTCGCTTTTCAGACCGATGAGCTTTGTAAAAATCAATGCGTTTCAGAAAGGCGGGGCATAGAGGAGAAACAATAATGTACAGTATGTGGAAAATAATGTGGTTTTTGAACCTTAAACCGCATAAACACATTTCATTACACCAAATACACAAAATAATGTTCTTTTTAGCAACATCATATGACCCCTTTAATGCATTAATGTATTAATGCAATCTAAGTCACTTTGGATAAAGGCATCTTATAATTGCATAAATGTTAATGTCTTCAAGAAAACAAGACAAAAATACAGATTAAGGAACTTCTTTTTGCAGTTTATAGAGCTCTCCGCTCACTGGAATAATATACATTGTCAAAAATGCTACTGAAGTGAATTCAGACCTGTTCTTTGATTTCCTGCAGTTTGTTGCTCTGCTCCCGTATGTCGTGCAGGAGCTGCAGAGCTTTATCATCCTCCTGCGTAACCTCCATGCGGGCCTGCTCCAAACTGCGCTTCAAACTCTGAAATACACACAAAACAAACAAAAAGTTTCACAAACCAAGCTGTGCAATTCAGATCACGCCACATTTCCACATGGAAACAGTAAACTCACGCTGCATTCGGTGATATAGGTGGCCAAGTCTTGTTCTAAGATGGTTCTTTGGGTTTCTGAAGCCTTGAGCTCCACGTCCTTCTGCTGCAGAACTGACTCCAGGTCTGACATCTTGCGCTGCACTTTTGAAATCTCCTGCTCCATCTTTCAAAACAAGAAGGCAAATAGACATCGTTACACATATGAAGGACTGAATTATCCATAAAATAGCGTAGGACTTGTCAAATGTACCTTTACATATGATTGCCTGCACTTCCTCTAGCAATCTGAAAGCTTCGGCTCTGAAGGTCTTGTTCTTTGTGTGCTTGTAAGCTGAAAGACGAGGTCTGAATGAACGTGCCCTTTCTAGAAAAAAGAAAGAAAAAAAAGGAGACGCTGAAGAACATGAAACCACATTTAAATTTTAATTATACCAAAACAAAATGACTTCAACTACTGTTGTTAATAGTGAAAGTTACCGTTCTGATCATCCACAAAGCCAGCAAAACAGTTAAATGCTCCATTTCAGCTCTAATTAAGCCAAGAGATATGCAAATTGATTAAAATTTGCAACGCAAATCTCAGAAAACAAAGAAGCTCCAACAATATGCCTGCAAACAACAAATAATTAATCACTGCAATTACAAAACGGCACATGATTTGATTTCAAAAGGAAAAAAGAAACATGATGCCAGGACACACATTTGATCTGCATTCAGATTACATTTATTTATTATCCAACTCGATCTGAATAAAAGCTGTCAAATCTGTGTGATTTATGGTCCTGCTTCAACGCAAGTCAGATTTTAACACATTTCTAGCATCCTCTAAGTCCGATTGCTTAGAGAAGTCAACAAGCTGCACTTTTTATTCAGTAAGGATGCATTAAATCGATCAAAAGTGACAGTAAAGGTATTTATATATTCAATGTTACAAAAGATTTCTATTTCAAATAAATGCTGTTCTTTTGAACTTTCTATTCATCAAAGAATCCTGAAAAATACAATATATATCACATTTTCCACAAAAACATGAAGCAGCACAACTGTTTTCAACATTGATAATCATCAGAAATGTTTACTGAGCAGCAACTCAGCATATTAGAATGATTTCTGAAGATCATGTGACACTGAAGACTGGAGGAATGATGCTGAAAATTCAGCTTTGATAACAGCAAAAAATGACATTTTACAATATATTCAAATAAAAAACACTTATTTGAAATTGTAATAATATTTCACAATATTACAGTATTTTGCTGTATTTTTGATCAAATAATTGCAGCCTTGGTGACCAGAGGAGATTTTCAGAAACATTAACATTTTTGAACGATAGTTTATGCAGCACAAGCTCTCTACCATGGAAACCAAAATACTGTTGACATCATCTTGCACTCAGGGGACCATACAATTTTTGTCAAATCAAATTCTCTCTAGTCTCTAGAACGAGAATGTATACTGAATCCTTACTGCGTTTTGCTTTAGTATTTTCTGCGCATACAAGCTCAGCACGGAGCGTATAGTGCAGTCTATTTTTAACAAGCCCAATCATATTAGATATGCATAGACTGTTTCTAACTGCCACTCTCTACTTGGCATCCTTGGAGATGGAGGGAAAAATGAACGACAGAAGAAAAGAGCTCCTAATAAAAGCACAAGCATCTCTACTCCTCCATGTCATTCCCTCTCTCTCTCTCTCTCTCTCCGGCTTTTTCTTTCAGTAGCCTGGGGCTTTACAATTCAGCATTAGGAGGCTTAAAGATTACAAAACACACACAATCCAAAAGATGCTTATGGAATCGCTTTCCGAACCCAAAGCAGCGGTATGAACTCATGTTCACATTCACAGAAACGTGCAGCCTTCAGGAACACACACACTAAACACGTAAAACCTGCTGAAGGTCCCGTGACTCGGTCACACATGTGCGATACAGACCCAAAGCCGTGACTACAGGCATGTCATGCAAGTGTTTAACATTCTCAGATGTTATTTATGAGATGACACCATTTCTAAACTTGCAAACCACCTTTAAATTAAATTTAACAAAATGATAATATGCATGATTTTAACTGTGATCTTCATTTGATGTGTAGAACTATCCTGTGATCAAAGTTCAAAAGTTTGAAAGTAAACATGATATTTAGTGCATTTTTCCTCAACACTACAACAAACTGCATCCAATCCACCATAAAACATACTGCGGGTTACATCACCACAACATGCAAATGGTCATGCAAAAATATGATTATACTTCTGAAGCCAGCTGGATGCATAATTTAGTACGTGGAAAATCAACACAGTGTTTCAAGATGAGGCATGATTATTCTGATCTCTCGGCTAATACTGATCTCTGGGGAGGGGGAATAAGAGAAATTCAGCTGTAGAGAAATGGGAAACAAACAAGAAACTCTGACCAAAGGGTTGAAAATCACAACAGTTCTCAAACCAGAATATTTTAAAAGTTATGACACATTGACATGCCGAAGGCCTGAATGAATATGAAATCACTGATCATCTAACATCATGGAGCATTAATGTAAACAAGAACTTGTGACGATTGACAGATAAAGTATAACTGATATGTTTAATATGTGAACAACGGGTCTGACACTTGACACAAATAAATAAATGCATAAATAATCAAGACATTAAAATGTATTCAATATAATAAAATAAAGCAATTAAAATAAAAAAAAAATTAAAAAATACAACAACAAAAAAAAATTAAATGACCGAAATAAGTAAAATTAACAAATTAAAATAAATATTCAATAAATAAAATAAAATTAACAAATTTAATTAAATTAATCCAAAAATAAATTCAATAAAATAAAATGAGCAAAATAAAATAAACACATTAAAATAAACCATCAAATTAATTAAAATTACATCTGTAAATAAAATAACCAAAATAAGTAAAATTAACTAAATAAAACGAATAAATTAAAATAATTTAAAAAAATAAATACAAAAAAAAAAAAAAAAAACAGTAGGGCATTCTGAGTGATCACCTAAATCTGAACATGGATGACTGATATGATAGATATTGTCCACTTTCATTATACAGCACTGTCAAGCTCCAAAACATCATAGATAGATAGATAGATAGATAGATAGATAGATAGATAGATAGATAGATTCTCTGAAGGGCCTGTTGCAGCAATCTCATGAATGCACAAACAGATGCATGCATCAAGTGTTGAGGTCATGCATTGAGTTCATTCACAGTAACACTTTTTCTCGTGCTTTTCTCTATAACCACAGAATCCATGCCGTCTGAGCTGCAGTCACGACCACACGATCCCTTTACCTGATCAGCACTTATGCGTGAGTGCTCGCGTCAATAACATTATTATTTCTCAAAAATGATATTCAGTTATCAGTGTGTGTGTGGGATCGTGTTTGAGAGCGGATGAAAAGCTCTAGAGGATTACTGAGCGTGTGCATCACGACACACCGCAGGCTGCTGCATGAAATCATCTCACTGTCAAACTTACAGACACTTTCAGACAGCTCTGCATTAAAGTTAATGAGGATCACTGCACATCCTTAATGCAATTCAAATACTGTATCAATAATTCCAGAATCGTGCCATACTGATCTCTGCATGCTGAGCCTGTTTTGCGTAGATTGTCTAATAGATACGACCACAAAAAATATAAATAATGACAGGTCAACAAAGCTTATTTAGGAGTGTTTGCTGGTTTAGGATTATGAGAGCAATTAAAACCAAAAATCAGCAGAGATTAAATTAATTGACTAACTATACTAATATTAGCAGGTTTAGCAAGGTTCAAGTCCCAAATTCTCATTTCCTCGTCTATTTGCTTCGGCATGTGTTCTGAAACAGAGCCAATCCAGTGTGAGATTCAGACAGTTTAAGTGGTTTAATAACAGCTTGAGCGACAGAAAGACACGATTCTCTTGAAATCTCCAACAGCCGGATTAGAGGACTTCACGTCAGTGGTAACAGAATGAGGTAAACACAGGAAGTGATGCAGTATATGGGCGTGTCTGAGCTCAACTTTTTTGTTTGTTAACACATCTAAAAAATGATCGGCATTTGAAGATGTATTTCCCAGCAAATTGCAAACAAACACATTATCGGATTCTTTTCAGTGGGGAACATAAAAACATCCATATGAGTCTTCAGTAGCAGTGCATGGAGGGAGGAGGAAGAAAGAGAGCAAAGTGCTGTTTCCATAGAAATAAGTCCATTCTGTCACCTTCTTGCTACTCTTTTCCTCATACATTTCTATTTCACTTCACCCACATAATGTATTTTTCTCCCTGAACACTCTACAGACCGGTTACCTGAACTACACGGCCGGGAATCAATAAATATTTGATTTTGCTGAAAAAAATGCGAGTGGTGCAAAACTCTGTCACGATGCCAGGCTGGTTGCCGGGGCATTGCAATGCGGTTGCTAGGGTCAAAAGACCCCATGCTCTGGATTTTTCACCTGTTTTCTACTGAAAATGGTGCATCTGATCACTTAATAAAGTACCAGCACGTAATGCACACGCTCGACTTCGGTACTTTTGATGGAATCACTACAGAATAAGTCAGCAGCTGATATCTGAGCGATTGTGTTGTACTGGGATTACTAATGACCAGCGCATTGGTGATGTTCTGTTCAGACCTGGTGTCATGACACGCAGTGAGAGTTCACACGCTGACAGTGTTGGCATCTGTGTTGGCACCACTAGCCTCAACTCTCTCTCTGCACCCATCTGAGACGCCACCTGGACGTATTCTCAGCTTTTATACTATCACTAATGACAATATGTAACAAGGAGTCGCACATTAATAACCACTTACAGCAAAACAATGAAATACACATCCACAAAAAAGCACTGGATTGCGTCTGTCTCTTTCTGTGTTTCAGTAAACAACATTCACTCATAAACTCATATCTTGTCAATGATACTCACCCTAAAGGAGACCGGCTTGAGCTGCTGTTCTGCTTCGGATCCACTTTACAGAGTGCAGGTCCGCACGAGGGAAGCCCGAGAGTGTTGAGTCGTCCTGGGCAGCCATGAGCTGAAGAACGGGCATCTGTGGCTGGAGGTTTCTGGAGGAGTCATCCTCAGAGTTCTTGAGAAACAGAGGAGTTGTGCGGGAGAGACGGATCAGATACACTTGAGTGGGAAGAGAGAGGAGCACTGAGACGAGGAGGGAAGCGAGCTGTATCCTAGAGAAGACAGTGAATCGTGCACAACCTTCTCTCTCTCTCACTCTCTCTCACCACTGCAGAAGCTCTCTATAATCACAGTAATACAAGCAGACTGACTCACTGTTGAAACTCAGTGCTCTCTCTCTCTCTCTCTCACTCAGAACTGATATTTATCTTTTCTCCCCACATCTGATTCCAATTTAGACATTTTGTGCCTCGCTGCTTACGTATGTCTTTATTTCCATATCATATATTCAGAGAATTTTCAGAGTCTACCTGTATCTATCACTCTATAGATCTGTCGTTCTATTACACTATCGCTTTATCTATCTGTTGCTCTATCTACATCACACTATCATATCGCACTCTATCTGCCTGTCACTCTATCTACCTACCGCTCTATCTACATATCGTGCTGTGTTGCTCTGTCTATCATGCTATCGCTGACACTTTATCTACCTACAGTATCACTCTATCGACATAACACAGTCTGTCCCACTATTATGCTATCTGATGCTTTATCTACATATTGCACTCTGTCGCTCTATCTATCCATCTGTCACTCTATATGCTCATCACGCTCTTCTCTCTTTATCACTCTATCTGTCTATCTATCTATAATATCTACATACTGTGCTGTCGCTCAATCCACTTATCGTGCTCTAGGGCTGTCAAAATGGCTGAAAAACTAAATTCGAATTTTGTACTTAAATATTATCAATATTCAAATTATATTCCAATGTAAAATAAATCATTTCAGTTAGGGGGAAAAAGCTTTTAGCTTCTCTCCTGAGGCCACAAGAGGGTCCATCGAGCAAAATATTGCTAATGCACATTTATTCAAAGCCATAAAATAACATGACTATCGTTAAAAAAAAGAAAGTGCATAATGTTTACAAAATGTTTATAATCCAAATATAATTAATTAATTGGCTTAATTATAAAGAAAACAGCCTCATGTATGTATATTTAACACAAAGGGCTGAAAGCCAATCACAGAGTACTTTTTTCATTCAAAAAAAAAAAAACCGCCATAAAGTCTCTAGACATGTTTTTTCTAAAAGATGAACTTACATTAATTTTACATGGCTTTCTAAACATGTGGCTCTCTTGTGCGAGATGCGATTGAAACGGTGATAGATGTCACTCTAGAAAATGCGCAAAATATGTGTTCTGCGTAAACAGATTACATGGTTTCAGTTTTGATGTAAACAAGATCTTCTCCGCATTGATGTTCCCTTTTTCCGCAATATTTTGAATGAACAATGCAGCAGAGCCTCATCTAGTGGGTTCACCTGGATAGGCTAACAAAAACATTACAATGCAACAACACATACATCATCATTGCATCTCGTGCGCCACTGATAAGGCTGCCTGACGCACACCTAAAATTCAAATGCAGCATTTTTGCATTCAAATGTGGATTATTTTAAATTTGACCAATATTCGAAATTCGAATTTTTCTACTCTATCTACTTATCGCGCTCTGTTACTATCTGTTGCATCATACTATCTGGTGCTCTATCTACCTATTGTGCTCTATAATGCTATCTGATGCTCTAGCTACATATCACGCTCTGTCTATCCATCTTTCACTCTCTCTACCTATTGCAATCTGTCGTTCTGTCATGCTATCTGATGCTCTATTTATCTGTCTACCTATCTGCCTATTACTCTGTCTACATATTGTACTCTGTTGCTCTATCACTCTATCTACCTCTCTGACACTATCCGTCTATCATGATCTGTCACTCTATATGTCACTCTAACTGTTGTACTATCTACCTGCCGCTCTGTCACTCTATATCTATCTATCTATCTATAATATCTGTATAAACAGAAAGTTAGACAGACGAAAGCTAAAGAAAATGATTGCACAATTTATGTAAATACTGATGTAGCATGTGTATAAATTATAACCTGCCATGACATACATACATAATCTCAGATTGTGACGTGTCATTGCTCCCTCCATTAAGCTCAGCATTTGACAACTTTAAAATGACATCATGAGTTTGGAGTTTCATCCTTCCTGACTTTTGTTTACCTTGAAATAATTCCAGCATCTGAGTAAAGCTGCCTTTCTGGCATTAACGGAGTTACATCTGGATTATTTTCATTGATGACAAACTCAACTGTGCAAATTAACGTGTTCATTAGAAGCTGTTGGCACTGCCATCAGGAACTCTTCTGTGAATTCATTCTCAGTCAAAACTCATTAAAGCCACAGTTGTCCTAGTCAATTTCACAACTAAAGACCGACACATTTCTTAATGAAAGACTAGCTTATTTAACATAATTCCATGACTTATCGACTGAGGAGAGAGTGTTCATTAATAGCCAGGGAAGTGTGACAAAGTTTTGGCATGTGGTGTGATGCTTCCTGTCAGCTTCTGCATTATGCTTCATATCAATCTGCTAAATAATTCCACTGATAACAGATTCAGGGGTTAAAGCAAAAACAAATCCTGAGCCTGAACTTTTTTCCAGGGGTTGGGGGTTGCTGGGGCGGACACATACACAGGGTTATTTGGCAAACAAAAAAAGAAAATGATTTTCCTTGAAACTAACTAGTAAAGTATCTGCCATTGCCATTAGCCCTTGACAGGCTCAGACTTCAGATTATGGTGGGATATTTGAAACAGCAATACCAAGAATGTTTACTCACTACAATATGGTGCAAACACATGTAACATTTAGGATGCTTTTGATATCAAGTTTTGCTGGTTAGCTTTGTCCTTGACAGGGTACAAGATGACCTACAATCTAAAACATGAAATTTCTGAAATTGTTTTGTTCAAAATAAATAATGGTAAATTAAATACTAGGAAATGAATACACTAGGGGTGTGACAATAGTCTTAGCTCACAAGGTGAGACAAAATGCAGATACATGGTCCACTAGAACGAGACAATGTTTTAAGACATTTTCAAATTACAAAATATTTGTCTTTTAATCACAAAAATTAAAACAATACAGTTGTATTTTGAAATGTTTTAACTAATCTAGTGCTTAACTAATTATTTTTTTGCTAATCAAGTAATCTACTGATTATTTTGACAAGTGAGTGATGTTTTTTAGTAATACAAATAGAACTAAGTGGAAAAACCAGCTTTAATATGACTATATTTACATATAAAGTAACGATAAGGCAATAATAATTGGCCTTAAATAAAGTATCAAAACCAAGTACATGGTTTTATTGAACAACACTGTTAAATACATAATGTAATATGCCTATATTATAACAAATACCTGCAGAGGGCACCAACGGCCTGGTGAGGTTTCATGTGATTCAACGACGTTTAAATCTATTTAATTTTAATATTTGGCCACATGCAAAGTCAGAAACTTTTATTTTGAAATTGAGATGTACAATAAATCACATATTTAGAAATATGTTGATGTATTCTCCTGTGTTGGCATAGGTTTAAATAATTTATGTTACAAATCAAGTGAGTTTTCCCAGATGAACGTTAAGCAACCCAAACTCACCGCATATGCAGAGGAAGAGTTTAGCCCTTTTCACACATACAGTCTTTACTGTTAAATTACCGTTAAGAGATCATGTGTGAACAGGACCTTTTTTTAAAATACAGGTAAATGCATTCTGGCAATCATATTGTTCTTATGGAGATGACGTGATTACTCTGAGCTGTTTACAAAGCTCCGCTGCTTTTCTAATAGCTTTTCTATGTAAATATAGATTACGCTAGATGGACATCTTTGACCATTGCGCCTCGCAGCTTTTTCAATGTGTCGCGCTCGAGACCCAGGCTTCTTTTCCATTCATCAGCTGCGACTCTGCAATTGGATACTATTATGCGCGTCTCGTGTTTATAAGAGCAAAAACTTCTGATTGGCTAGTAATGTTAGTTTGGTTGAGAGTGAAAGCTGTGTTCCTCTCATACATTGGTAGGCGAACTCATTAACTCGAACGTGATATCAACAAGTATTTTTAAATGTAGGACGACTTTCCTTTTTTTTCCCCCGCAGCCAAACGCCGCACGCCGGAGATCCGGCACGGTGCCGGAGAACTTTAAGCCCTGCAGATTGCAAAATAATGTCCAGACTGATTGTTACGTATAAAGATCATCATCAGTGGGTGTACTGTTAGAAATTTAGATGGTTGTGTAGTATAAACATTATTGTTAGAAAAAGAAAGGAAAAGGGACAGAGACACAAAAGCAGCGTTTCTCTCTCAAACACAAGCATTCTAGCAATGTTACCAGGCAACAGGCTATTGCTGTTATCTGAGCCAATGACAGATGAGCATTTATAAGGGAAATGGTGGACAGTGGAAAAAAAGGGTAATTTCTATTCATATTTTAAGAATAGATTGTATAGGGCTACAATTACATCATTTCCCATTTACATCATAGCATGTAAATTATGATGCACAGCATAGCTGAAAATACCAAGTGTCATGTGGATGTTATGATTTTTTAAGATATTACTCACCCAAACTGATTGTTTGGCTGTCAGATGGCATTCTGGGATGATTCGTCAAGTACCTTTAAAGGGATAAAATGAATTCATAATTTAGTCTACTATATAACAAAATTAGATTTAGATCCACACAACTTATAGAAACCATGACTGTCATCTTCATAAAGAGACATAAAGCGCATAAATGTATTATAAATGTATCATAAATGGTCCAAATGAATTGCATGCAAAAGTATTTTGAAGTCATATATTGCTTTGTGTGAGAAACAGACTGATATTTAAGTTATTTAGCAATATTGTTGCCTCAGACGTGATCACTGTGAATAGTAATTAAGTAAATTATAGTAATTTAAATATAAATACTTATTTTTGGATGAAACATTCATTGTAACCTGAATAAGTGATGCAGAAAATGAAAAACAGATTAAACAGGTAGCATTTGAAGAGAAGCCACTTTTGTAAATCTTGCTTTGTACTGGAAATGTGCTGATGTAAAGAGTACTGTGTAATGCTGTGATATGAAAGAAAGTGTGCAGCTATAAAGCAAGGAAGAGGTTGAATTCTTGAGGAGAGAGAGAGAGAGAGAGAGAATGATCACCTGCTGATAAACTGCAGTCTGAAGTTGTTTGCGTGGGGTGGATGGAGCCTTCAAACATCTCTCGGCAGCTCTATAAAACAAGGCACTATGAAAATGTGTGGTGTGGGGGTTTACTTATTTCTGCTGCATGTTCATTCAACAGTCCTTAATATTTAATCAATATCTCACGAGTAACAGTGCTGTTAGTTACTGAATATCTGTGTTGTTTATTTTCACTCTGCCATTGGAAATACTTGCAAAAGACGCAAGGCAGTTGAAGAAATATGTAGCAAACATAAAAGTTTTTTAATTAACGAATCATTTGCGTCATTAACTTAATAATAACTGATTTCACTGTCACAACGTTTCGGTTCATGACCTGGCAAGAACAGGTTCAAATCTGTTTTTAAAAAATAGGCATACAAATAAAATAATAAACATATTAACAGTGAGATTAAAGACAGGTAAATGAAATGAAAATAAAGTTGCATTTCTAAAAATAAATTCTAGAAGTTTTCCCATTGACACTTTACTAAACATGTCCTTTAGAGAACTTTCTGATTAAAACAATTGTCTGATGATGACATTAAAGGGGTAGTTCACCCAAAAATGAAAATTCTGTCATTAATTACTCACCCTCGTGTCGTTCCAAACCCGTAAGACCTTCGACTATCACCAATTGAATTGCAGTGGTCAATTTAAAATATAACGTTAGTGAATTAAGCTACAAACCCGATCATAATACACAATGTTCCATATAACATGTATTTTGAGGTGCAGCTCATCATATTAATGGAGTGTTTTCACTAGTTAGCAGTAAACCGGTTACCTCACCTGAATATGTTGTAGATTTGTGGTGGATGTCTTCGACGTGGAAAGCAGAATGAAAACATTGATATTTTATTTGTAAACATCATAATTTTTCAATTAATCTCATAAAACTAGTGCTAAACCAGTAGTAGTACTTACTGGTGGTGTAGTATAAACATGGCTGAAGGCCCAAAAAGGAAGAACAAACAAACTGATTCAGCTGAGTGAATAATTTACGCTGGAACCGCTCCGGTTGATTCAAACTCAAACTCGTCATTCATTTACTAGCATAAACCAGTTCAAAAGAACCATTCATTTTGGAATTTCGACATTGCTTGTAATGATTCTAAAAAAGCACGTAGTGATGGGTGAAACAGTTCGAATCGGATCGCAAATCATTTGGTTTAGATGGGGATTTGATTCAGATCAGGACTTCGGATATCGCGTATTGTGAATCATTTGATTCAGATGGGAACTTCGGAGCACATGACAGATCTCAATGGTTCGCGAATCATTATTCAGATAAGGACTCAAAACGCAATCTTTTCTGATTTCTTAATTAAACAGTACAGAACATCAAACCATTAACCTTGTGCGCTCCTCATTTGGAAGTCACACTCATGGTCTTTCGTGGTCAAAAGTGACCGGACACCTGAAATGTAACTTTTTTTCTTCTTCAGTAAATCAATCTAATATATTTTTGTTCAATACTATTTTTTCTTTTGTATTTTGAGAGAATTTTATGGTACTAATTAATATTTATGCAATAATTATGATCAATTTTTCCCATTGAAAATATTAAAAAAAAAAAAAAATCTAATTTTTAAAAATAATTTTTCAATTAATGCAGTATTTCAGATTAAAATAGAGCCTTTAAAATCTAATTTTTGAAGGCAGAATACATCCTGGTGAGAGCAAAAAAAAAAAAAAAGAAAAACCTGTAATTTCATGGTGTAACCACTAGATTATGTATCCACTAGCCTCTATAGAGAGGCTTGTGAATTCCCTAAGTTGTTTTTATACATAATTGTTTACTTTTATTAGGTTGTGGATTTAAATGTATATTTAAATGTATATTAAGGCATTCAAAGACTCCTTTTTGTCAAGGTTTATATTTTTTTTGTTGTTTTAACTGTTGATTTGAAGTGTAGGTTTTTGCATTATTATTACTACATTCAATCCTGAACACAGAAAGCATTTTGTTACACAAAACATTAAAATTATATAAAAATGTAACAAAAATGAACAGGAATGCTTTATCAGAGCTTAATCCTTCTGGGTCTGATCTGATTTTAACCTCTTATTTCAGTCTTCTGACTCATTTTGGCTATATGGTTATAGCCATACCAATTCATTTGAGTATGTATAATTCTGTA